AATAAATCAATGTATAATGGTCTTACTGTACCTCAAGAACTTGCAGTTTTAACACAAAACTTGCATCTGTCATATTTTGGCACAATAAATCCTTAAAAGTACTTGAAGACTTCAAACAATTTAACTATATAGTGTCATTTAACTATTAATCAGAAAATTGTGTCCTATTTTGAAAGTGTTAGAAGTGAAACTAAAATCCATGAAATATGATTTCCAATTGAAGAAAGGTGGGATTGTGGAAAGAGAATTTTGTGGTAAAAATGGCTTAATTTTCTCTTTCTGACAAGTTTTTGCAGGTTGCTCATTAGATTTGCATTAATGTTATCCAGTGTGAAAGATAAAGGCTTCAAATTGAGGAGAAGAAAAATTGAAAATATCCTCACTGCTTTATGTAAAGCATCATCTTTCATGTAGCGAGCTATAATAATAATAATAATAATAATAATAATAATAATAATAATAATAATAATCAATATTTATTTGGCTACACTGGCTGATTGCCAGGTGGTAAGCCACAACCTACAGTTTTAAGCAATATATGAACATTTATAATACAAAACAATTTACCATAATAAAAACAATTTACACTACACTTCTTCGAGCATATACACTCAATATATAAACAACGACAGACCTGTATACATCTATGGCACATAATATAAACCCCTACACACACACACACCTTAATACATACACAATGCATACATACATACATACATACACACACACATTCCTTACATGAATGCTCACTCTCACGTTCACACATAACACGAACACACACACTTTCCCTACATATTATACATGCTACATTGAAATGAAAGAACATATATTTAGTTACACCTAGTAACATGCACATTATACATATATATCAAATTAAACCAGTTCCACAATTGTTTTTTAAAAATATAAACACAATGTGGATTTTAAAGTAAGCTCTTTAAGCATTAGATTTGCTTCCCCACCTACCTGTCGCACTTCACTTCACTTCAGCTACATTACACTCCACTCCACTACACTTTCACTACCATCTTCTTTGGTTATGCCACATGTAACTAATTAAAGTAGCTTTCCACTGCACTGAAACTACACTACAACTTTATCTATAATAAAATCTTACAAATTGTGTATTCCTGAGCTGGGCGGTAAATTACACCGCCTACAAGTACTTATTAAGTCGTCTTCTAAAACAGCAACAGAACCAGGAAAAGGCTCTACGAACCGCTGCAGGGATTTCATTCAATTTTAAAACCGTAGGATTTACAAATGAATATTTCCCTACGTCGATGCTCTTGACATCTACTTTTTATTTTGCATTTGTGATCGTTTCTCCCAACTCTTGGCAGGGGAGTCCAGTCTTTTCGTTATTTTCTGCCCATGCAGGTGAACATTACTGTACGCCTTGAAGAGCAGCACAAATCTTGGCTTTTTTCTTCGCAACACTGAGGGCCTCTAAGATTTTTGGTGGATTTTGAAACTACTCGAAGATCCCTTATTTATGAATTTAAATTGCTTTCTTTTTGAATTTTTTTCTAAACTCTTCATCTGACCTAATTTGTAGGATCCATCCAGCTGATGCGTATCAAGAATCGGCCTAAACTAAAGATTGTATTCCTATTTTTCGACTCTCCATGTTTTCCCCTTTTTAAGTGTCTCATTACAACAGTGTAGTGACTTCCACGTTTTCGGCCATAGAAAGTAACGTGTTCCCCCCATCCCAGTCTGGGCGTAATATGACACCCAGATACTTACAACACGATACTTGTGGAATGAATACGACCTGCCCATTTGGTATTCTAAAGAAACCTTTTGCTGATTTCGAAAAGCTTAGTGATTTACTTATTTACAGCAATTTATCTTCATTTTAATAATGGTAGCCCAGGAATGAATGTTAATAGAATCGGTTTGAAGTGTGAGAATATCTTCATCCGAATCTATTCGCCGATCAATATGCAGTCATCGCAATAAGCGCATTACTGACTTAATACAAGATGGCAGATCGTTGATGAATGCCAGAAACAACAGCGGTTCCATTGCATTTGTTAGATCAATCCTGGAATATCAATTTTGGTGAAAATCTTGCTTACGGTTTTGTTGCTAGGGTTGTTATGGTTGTTTTGCTGTAAACCAATGAATTCTTGAATTTGATTTCTTTTGTATCAAGGGTGAGAAAGTGTAGTTTGATTAAACCATGTTAAAGGAAGTTATTTTCTCTATAAAGGAACAAGAATTATTCACTTTTTCAGTATTAGGCCCATATAATACGAATGTTCTGTCAAAATATTGCTGTTTTTGTTGCAGCATTACCATAACTTTATCTATACTAGAAGTCAGAGGTGTCAAACTTGCAATGCTTCACAACTAAAATATTTCATTGTTGTGGACCATATTTTCAATACTCGTATGACACACTTCCTGGTGTCGATCTCCAGCTTTTTTGGCTTCTCTGAAATGGAACCATTCGTGATATCTGGCCATTCGTGCATAACGCAAGATCAGCAGTATCATAAATATGACGTATCTGATACGTCATCTTTATGATACTGCTGATTGTGTGATTTATGTATTTCATATGTTCTTCTTCATTTATAGTCTTTATCGGGCTATAAACATCTGCCGGATGTTTGTAGGCACCTAGAATACGCTTCTTTAATATAATTATGATGGTCACAGGATAAACACCGATGTGGTCTCTCTTTTTTTTTTTTTTTTTTTATTTATTTATTTTTTATTGCAAGTATTTGCAATTTTTTTAGGAAGTGATTATATATTTGTACTTGCGGCTGTTGTTCAGGGCACGTTCAGAACTTCTTTGTAAGCAGTGTTCATAATGTCAGCAATGTATACAGATATTTAGATGATGTGAAATTCACAGCGACTCTCAATATTAGCAGTTAAGAGAGTTTTTGAATCATGGATCAGTACTGGCTTTTTCTAATGTGGATGACTATTTTATACATTGATCATTGTCTTTGCACAATGAAAATTATATCGAGGAGAGTAGTAATGATGCAAATGATTCTATTGGCAAGTCTTCTCAAATTCAAGAATTTGCAATTTTTTTAGAATGTTGTGAGATTGATAAACAATCTGTATTACCAGTGTTTGAGAAAACAAATTAAATAAACTTTTCTTGTAAATAAAAGACTCAACTGGCCTGGACTATTTTTCATCATTTATTACCACAATACATTTCTAAAAATAATGGCAGAAATAAATAGATATGCAAATGTCGCTTCAACAAAATATAATTGTAGTGCACCAGTATTGTTGTCATATGAAGTTCACTGCATTTTCCTCCAGATTTTGTAGCGTTGTTCCTTTTTGCAAAAATATAAAATTGACATGTTTTTCTTATAATTCTATTCTAAGAAACTATCTTACATTCATGTGATCATAAAATACATACTGACTTAAAGAGAAAAGACAATACAACAAGATTTTATTAATTTCAAACTGTTATATACAATAGTGTTTGTTCTAAACGTTTTTTATAATGGCTATATTGCCCAGGACCCAGGAGTTTAACCATGGAGTATATCCCTCAGGACTGAATGTGTTTAAGGGGTGATGACCCCCAGTAGGCCGCTTGCAATGTTCTAGCCTGACATGGATGGAAAGGACTTTCACTTTTGACTAATAACCTTTAATGGGCCACAGTAAATGCCACTGCAGGTTGCCAGTTGGACAACTCTGCTCTAAGTATTATGCAAGATAGTAAAAAACTAAGGGAATTGTTTCATCAGAGCCTTCTAGCATGCATTGTGTTGATGATTGTGTTGACTTTCAAATATAATTTTTTCAAAATTATAATCATTATGAATAACATTTGTAGCCACGGTAGTGTTAATTACACTTGCATTTCTGAATATATTTCATAATTTTTTGATATGTACATAACATAATAAATACTAGTAAAAAATATGAATATCAAACTTTCCATTACATTTTTTCAAAAACCTAAAGAACTGTGTTCAGTGAATAAGGATTGTATTGTTCCATAATGTGTAAACCTCCCTCATTTCATTAGTCTTAGAGACAACTTAATGTCCTGAAACAATGTTTTGGGGATTTTCTATTTTTCTAATAGTGAATATGTTGAACCTTTTGCGCATCCCACACACAACTAATTTCTGGCTTGCATCCCTACTGATAAAATTTCAAGATATGCCTCCACTTTTCAAAACCTTTTTCATCATGTTCATTCTTGTGGCTTGTATGGTTTCTGCACAACTTCATTCAATAGTAGGTCTTTAAAGATGTCACAAAATATGAACATATAAGTGTATCTTTTTTTTCTCTCGAAAATATGTAAAGAAACTATCAAAAATATCTAAAATAAAAATTAATCTGTGTTTAAAATTACTCTATACAAACCTTTCCAAAGCACACAATGTCATCGATCAGATCTTAATATGGATTTGGGCAGCTGAAAGAAAGTTCTACCTCCTCGGAAGTAATTGAACACTAATTTCGACACACGAGTTATATTTGATTATGTGTTAATTGTTTGTAGAAGGTTGTTTTTGAGGAGCTGGTGCTCAAGTCAAGAATAGTATCATTTAGCCAGTGATTCATCCTGGAATATTAGAGTTCAAGGAAACATCCCTCCCCTCCCCCATCTAACAATGTGCTAAGACAATTATCTTTTAAAAAAATTCTAGTTACACATGGGCTCAATGCAACATGAGCATCCTTGTGGAAGGTTGAAATTACAAAACCCTGTCAATCCTTGATTCTTAGAATGTAGTTCCCAAGAAAAAGGAGAGTTTGACTTTTTTTTTTCTGGGACCAGTAGTCATAGAAGCACTGTAGTATATCATTGCTTAGTAAGAAAGACTAATCCAGAATCGTACATTGCATCTGTAATGTTCTGTTGAAATATAAATTTTAAAACATGAAAAACCATTTTCTAGTGAGAACTCTCGGAAAAGGAAATGTTTTGGTATGCCTTGTATTCCCACTAGTACTATTGTTGTGATGGTAATGATTTATGTTTGCAGCCAAGAAACTTCCAAAGAACGAGCAGGTCTCTGGTGCTGGATCTAGTGGTCAAACCAGACGATTGGTGGAATCTGAGCAGCAGAAGGCACCGGGCAATTGCTGCAAGTGATCCGTCTACGTAGTCTGGGCACTATCAAAACATTATGTAAGAATTGTGAAAATATTCATTACACTTGAAAAATTTGATGTTTTTTAATCTTGCTTGAAGCATCTTATTTTTTATATATAAGAGAAAGTTATAGAGTATTAGAAGTGTGTGATGTGTAACAGTGATTCTACATCTTTAAAATTTGAGTGTTTGAGAAAGTAGCTTCCATTTTTAGATAACTGTATGAAATTGACACCAGATGAATAAGTGATCTCCAGTTTTATTGACTTGGTGTGAGTGTCATTTGCAAATGAATATTGTGAAATTGAGCTGAATTCTCAGTGGTTTGAGGTGTTGCTTTCCTCCTCTTTTCATCTTTAGAACAGGTTTTGAAGATATTCTGTCATGTTTTGTAATGCTTGAATGAACTTAAAATTATTTTGTGCGGATATATTTTGGTTCATGGCAGTATAAAGGTAGTGATCACATTGAAATGTGATGACATTGAATGTATATATTCAGTGAAACCTTTGTATCTTATTAGTACTATAATCTTGGAGTTCTTATAAATCTTTAATTTCTATAATCTAGAAAATTCTGGTTTGTGGTTCATGGTAATAGCAGTTTTATTAAATTTTGTGATTGTTACTAATAAAAAAACATCAGTGTCGCAAAGATGGTGTGGAGAAAAAATAGAGAACCTTAAATTAGGATAACTAATATATGTAGAAAGGTTGGTAGTAACATGGTAGATTTTCAGTTGGTTTCTGGGAGCACTGTATTTTGTATATAATCTTCTCGTAAATAAATATAATGCATAATCTGTGCTAGATTAATTACTAGCTTTAATAACCACTTCAGTTTAATTCTTCTTCTAAAGAACAATCATTTCATTCAAGTTTTTGAAGTAAAATGAGTTTTGCTTTTATTTTTATTTAATAATAATAATAAAAATAATAATAATAATAATAATAATAATAATAATAATAATAATAATAATAATAATAAAAATTAAAAATTAAAACAACTTAACATGAAAAGTAAGATGCATAAAATTTTAAATAATGGAGAAAGTGCATGTCAATAAAGAGCAATCCTTTGTGTGGCTTAAAAGAAGAAGAATTCTTGGCTTCAGCCAGAATCAGAGGCATTTGTAATGGCTGCCAAGATCAGGCATTGTGAAGACGACACTATGATAAAGTGGTTCTAAAATGACACAAGATAATAAATACTGCATTTGCTTGAGCAAGTTGAAACCATTGATCATGTTGTCTCAGCTTCTAGCAAAGACTGAATATTGAAAAGATAAGATAGTGTGTAGACACCTCCTGGCAAATGTCTCACCCTTGGAAATTCTAAACACATGCTCAAAGTGGTACACACACTCACCAAAATGGTGATGTGTGTTGTTCTGTGTACATAATTTTATGACGTACAAATTCAAACTGATCGCATGATAAACTGATCAAACGATTCAAACTGATGGCAAACAAACAGGATATTGTTATCTGAGATTTGGAGAAAAAATTGTGTACTTGATGATAATTTCATGCAATGCAATCCAAAACTTAACTAAGGAGGCAGAGAAACACCTTAAATTCTAGTTTGGAAATAAAGAAAATCCGAATGTGGGGTGTTAATGCCATCTTCATTCCGATACTTATCAGAGATGTGAATTTGTTCTGCAGAATGTCAGAACTTGGTTAAATTCCAAGGGGCAATAGATTTTTTAAGTGGTCCAGAATTTAATAAATAGGTCACTCAACCATCTTGAAAAACAAATGCATATTTTGCATATAAATTTTCTAATATTTTAGCTGCTCATAAATATCTTAAATTTTTTATTATTTGAAAAAAGAAAAAAAATTGCAATTTTAAGACAACGTAAATTTCAAGTGGTACATTACTTACCAATGATACTTTACAAAAAGTAACTATGCTGTTGTGTGTAAGCTGTGTAAAAGCACAGAAAGAATTAATGCTGTGATTCTATAGCTTCTTTAAGAAATAACTCTGAAAATCAAACTTGGTTCATTTGTGTTCCATAGATGTCATTGCAAATATTTCCTAAATGAAATCATAGATGGTTAGAAAATAATATTTCTATTTGTAGGTGAGAAAATACTGAATCTAATGCTTAGAAAAGGGTAAATATCTACAAATGGGGGGGGGGGGAAATGATGCACTGCGTAAAACAAAAATGGCCACCATTTATAAACCTAGTACAATGAAAAAAATTGAAGATGGTTTTAACAGGCAGAGTGTATGGAAATTTATGTACAAAGTATGTGGTTTGTTTTTTTAAAATAGCTTTATTGAGAACAGCCTACATTTTGCACGAAGTATTGGAGACAGTCCCTAGATCTGCTCCATAGGAAGTTGGTTGCAACCTTCAGTAGATTTTGTATTCAACAGACTCACGATATCTTAGAGAAATAATAATAATAATGATAATAATTATGATTGATAATAATAAAAAAAAATATTTATTTTAAAATTACAATATTATTACATTAACATTTATTATTATATTATTATTAGTATTATTATTAATATTATAATATTTGCAGCATGAATGAAAACTAGGACTGGACCTTCACCTTTAAATATTCGCACTGGTGCACAGAGTGCATTCTTTAGCTTTTGGATGATGACATATTGCATTATCACATTTGCCAACCTATCTTCTGAGTTTTGAATTTGTATTTCAATTGCTCCATTACAAGTTGTAGCATTGCATTTGGTTGCAAGTAAACTAACTGTTCTGAGCTTTCAGCATGTTATGTGCCTTATGCAACTAATGTCAAAACTTGTCAGGGTTTCTCCTCAAAGCAGTCAATGTAGTATTCAGTAATTACACATGATGGCATGCAATGTAGATAAAATTCGTGTAAAGTATTATCTTTGTATTTTTAGAATTATTTGTTCATATTTACATTACCACACGTAAAATATCTTCGAAAATGTTGGTTTAAAATTGAATTGGATTATGGATTGCACATAACAGATATACAATACTTTAAATTAAGTTTATAACCATATCTTTTTGTTAGTTTTTGTGACTGAGAAACTTGCTCAATTAATCAGTATATTTCTAAAGTTTGTAAGGAACTACATAGTAGTAGTTGCATGTGACTTATCTTCCATTTTTTCCACTTTCCACTTCGTTCCACTTTCCTGTTTTTATTTTATCACAGTATCACAGTATTATATCAATCTTGCTATATATTGTTTATAACACATTTTCTTAAAATCAATTATGATTGTCAAAGTGCAATGCATTGTTGTATTGGAGACATTAATTAATTTCTCATTGTAAATTGTACATATACCATATAAATTATTACTAAGTATGATTTTATGCAACAAGTTACCATTTCTCTTAATAAATATGCTAATTTATCGCAATAAATGTTTTTTGTTATTGCATAAACAATCTATCCTTTGTTCGTGTACACACAGAAATTCATGTCAGAAAGGAACACTAGTAGAAATAGGTAAACTATCTTGTTAGAATCCCTTGAGAAAGTGAAATAAATGTGAGAATACTTTCTTTACTTGAACTTCTTTCTGTTCACCCTTTGCGGTACGTGATTTTAGCTTTCACTGCTTTATCACATCCTGCAAACCAGTTTAACAGCTTCATTTCTCAGCATCTGCTCAGATGTTCTATATGGCGGGACTGCTTGTTGAAGTACTAACAGGCTTGGGGGTCATTGGCCTGTTTCCTTAAGTTGTCATCAGATATCACATAAGTCTCATAGCTACATTGCTGTATATTGCTGTATATATATTGTAATGCGAGGCAAGATAACAATGCTCAGTAAACGAATGTGTGAGAGCAAGGAAGAATTACATGGAATTCTTAATGGTTCAGACAGTGATGGTATTTCTGAAAGTGGTGGATTGGTCGAGGAAATCTTCAGCAGTTAAGAAAAAATATGTTTATTATATGTGCACAAGAAAATTTGGACTACATCCTAAACTGCTTCCGGAAGTACCACACTCAACAGCATTATAAATTAAATGTTGACTAACTTTTGATGCCACTTATTATATTTACCCAAATATGTCGATTCGGAATATAAGAAGACTCCCTAATTTTGAAGAGGCTTCCTGAGAGAATTTTTAAAATTTTTAACTAATTCTTACTATTAAGTCAAAACAGTTTTACTGTTACAAATTGACTAGAAATTGTCTTGCTAAAAAATGTTGTAACTTATGTCTAGGGAGTGGATTTTTTTGCCCTAAAAAAATCTTGAAATATGCTTTAAAGACATTTATTTATAACCTAAACATTTTGAAATATGCACTTCAATATCCAATTAAAATTAACATCTCATTTCCAGTATAAACCTTTCTTGACAAAATTCAGGAGAGCATGCAAAAGATATTTTTGTGTATGCATAATATAACCTAGCTTACTTTGCAGGAGAAATAATTGAAGTAAATATGTATCTTAGTGAAGTACTGGTTTGGTGTCTGGTTTAAAAAAGAAGATATCAATAAATATCCTACATTTGCAACAGTATTTATTAACGACAGAAAAGAAAATATTGCAAACTTTGGCAAGCTAACAAATGCTAACAAAAACAAAGCAGTAAATGCTAACACATAAATAGTAGATTCTATGAAAAGATTAAATGTTTTAGAGATAAGTTACCATTTTAACAAAATATGCAAACTACTCCTATAATTACAAGAATATGCACCCACAGGAAAAACTGGCCAAATAAGCACTTGCATATCAATCTACATAGCATCCAATTTTAACCAAATGTCAAGAAATTTCGCGTTGCTGTGTCCTGAAGCAACAGAAAAAAATGTTTAACGAAAAATCCACTCCGTACATCTGACTGAGGAATACTTACTTTTTGTTCTCTAAACCTTCAGAGGTGACGCTGGGTCTGTGAGACCCACAGGGTTCCTGATACGGTCATAGTGGTTAGTTTCGCAGATAAGACATTGATATTCGCTGTATCTTTTAATCACCTTCCATGCAGCCGCAACATTGAGACTTTTTTCTATTGTTATGACTAGGACAGTTCATTTCTCATATGCCAGGTCTGACGGACCTGGTGTCACTATTGGTGTCCAGGTAGTAGATATGTGCTTGTGATTTGTTCTCATAAGTTTCTTCAACAGTGCCTTTGCTCTCGTATTGCAGAAAATTGATCAAGCTACTGGTGACGGACGGAAACTACAAATAATTAAATTTTACAACCCCTCAAAAGGAGGAATAGATATTGTCAACAAAATGTGTTTCATACAGCTATGCTTTATGTACACATGTGTGGTCGATGCTAATGTTCTAAAGCATGTAGAATGTTATTGCAATCAATGCATTTATTATATTACTGTCCAACACAAGTGGAAATATGAAAATGCGAGAATTTATGAAAAATTTGTGTACTGAACATGTAATGGATCAATTGTAAAACAGCTTCAGGACTTCCCAAAGAAGTTAGAAACTGAGCAAGAAATGTAACAAATACAAACTCACCAACAAAAAACAGTATATTAATTACACCAAAGACACACAATTTCACTGTGTGAAGTGTTACACTTCTTTGTGGATGAAGCATGCAGAAAGTGTGTGATAAAACTGCCTGGAAAATCATGATTAAATGCAAATAATGTAATCAGTATTTATTTTGAGAGAAATAACAAAAATTATCAATGAAAGTTGAGCAAACGCCATTTCTGTTGTATCATTGTCATGATCCTTCAAAACAAAATAGTTATAACTGAAAAATTAAGTGGGTCGCACAGACATAGCGTCACCGGTTATGTTACAAAAAAGGGCGTTACTACTGCAGAGTTAAAATCATAATTTTGGTTTTTGTCACTACCCTCTTCTTCTTCATGTGTATAGTTTCTTTTTGGGCCTCCTCCCCATGTTATAACAGTCTTTATCTTTTTAGGCCCCTCTGAAAGTTTTGCACCTTGAATTTACATTAATCGTTAAAATGATGCTATTTAAGTAAGCCCATTCCATTTTTTTGTCACTGGGTTTTCTTCCTATCTCACTCTAATTCAGTCTCTGATTCTTTAAAATATTTTTCATACTTTAACCGAATAAATATAAAATGATATACTAGAAACGAACATTGTTTAATGTTTGTGTAAAAACACTGTGCCTAAAATAAGACTTATTGTTTCCATCTCTAGAGAAATGAATTAGATGAAAATACACTAAAAAAAATGTATACTGAGAAAAGCAAAACTGATTATTGATTTGGGAGTAAAAGGGTGTAGAATATTTTTGGTACTCAAAATTAGAGTATCAATGAAATTTCAAACATTTATCATAAGATAAAGAAACTGAATTTAGAACAAGTATTAATGTAGCATGAGAAAACTTATTTTAGGACAGTGCTTAGTCCCTCTTTAGGCGCTCAGAGTAAGGGAAGGTCAGGAACGTCAGGGCCTTTCTATTCCCAACTTAGTCAGAGACGCTAAATGTGGCATGCTTTTCTCTTGCACCTTCTTGCAGGATTGAAGTCAGATTGAAACAAATGTTACTGCAATGACGCGAATTTCTGGCATAGGCTGGCAGGTCATGAGTAGCGGTCAGGTCATTCCAGCAGAAAAGTTCGCACTTGTGCTCTTGATTTATATATCGAGTGTGTTTTCCAGCAATCATAGTATCATTATAAATATTTGGTTCTCATGTATTTCATATTTCCCATGCCAATAATTTATTGTGCCCATTGGCGGAATGTTATGCAAAGCCCCTATCCTTGCACTCTGGAGTTCAGTGTACAAAACTGATGGGGCCCCTCCCCAAAAGGCCCTGGGAAGGAGGTCTGGGCATGACTTCTTGGAGCTATCCATAGTCCATTGTGCTTATATGATCGGCGGCACACTGCTCGTTATGCAAACTTGCTTGAATAATATCAGTTGTCTCCTACACCTAAGGAGTGGCTACTAAATGTCGAATGATGGAGAATTTCCCAGGAACAACTGTTTGAGGGCCACAATTCTAGCACATCCACAGTGACAGGGTTTTTGTCTTTAAGGTTCACCCATAGATGCAATGTTGAGGAAGGAAAGTTATTTTTTGATTTACAACTGCTGATTAGTTCTTGGAAAGTTTGGAACTTCTCTTTAGTTTTCCAAAGATAAGGCTAGTCTTGGAAAGAATGAGGAATGGAAAAAATATTTGAGGTAACTATGCCCATGTACTCTTGCTTTGTACTTGTTTTGAACATGTATTCTGTAGTGTCTCCAAGTGATTTACTAATGATGTTAAACGTTCTGACAGTGGGATGATAATCTTAATTTCTTAAATTGCTTATTTTTCCATGCTTATAGTTTAGAGCTAAAATATTTCTTTTTTTTTTTTTTTTTGCCTGCAGAGCATTTTGTTGGGCATTGATGGGGTGTATTGTAAGTTTGAAGAGCAGATGGTAATGAAACACTACACACATTGCAAGCACATTGTGTTATCAACATGTCTCCTTTGTTAGCAATTTTGTTTTTATTCTGGAATTACTCATGGTGGGTTTTCATGACAAAGTTACTTGTGAGGACACTTTCTTGGCATCTGCATTTCCTGCAGATTCACACATATAATTGAGAGTTTATAAATTCACTCCTTCATTTTATGTGCTAAAAAATTATAATTTAACTAAAATAAGAAAATAAAGAATTTGTATTAAAATTAATTGAACATTCATTATAGGCGATTCAAAGAAATCGCTTATACCGTTAAGGGTGATGATCTGTCTTGCAGTTGCTAAAATAGTGGTGACCTCCTGATGCTTTTTGTGGAGAAACCGATAAAATTTTGTCTGAGTATATTTTTGAGATTCAAGACCACATTCTCAAGAATGTTTCGAGAACTCATTTTAGTTATGTGAAATCAAAAGGGAGCTCACTGCTGTACCTACTGACCAGCAGTGAGTCAATTACGTTTGTCCCTAGAATTCAGAAGCTCAAAATTTCAGTTATGTTATGTTGTGCTTGATTTTCTGTTTTATTGAAATGCTCTTTTTTTATTTCTAGGTTTGTTCCATTCTTTGCTAGGAGGGCAGTGTTCCAGTGGGCTTTGGCAGAGCAGCTGATTGGCCGTTGGCTGGAAACATTCCTGGTGGTCGGAACTACAATGACCTCCACGAGTGCAATGAACACATTTCCATTTTAATTCTCCTATCGATTGCCATGCAGAATAACATGATAAATATCAGTGGCAGTTGTTTATAGGTGAAGTAAGTGTAATTATCTTAATGAAATACATTATGCATGTGGTGGGAGTCGTGGAAATATACCATCAAGTTAGAATGCTGTTGCTGCTGCTCAGAAGTTGAAGACACATTGGGAAGAGTGCAGTTGTCTCCTGTGTGCTGTGTAGCTGGATGTGTGGTATTTTCTCATGACTCCTCAATCAACAATCAAGAAATAAAATAAATGATTATACAGTGACATGTGTGGAATATGCAGTCCAGAAATATGTTTCAAAATGTAGTATTCTTCTGAACCTAATATTGAAAAGTTTCCTTTTTAAATACTTTCTAAAATATCAGGTGATTATCTTCTGCAATTTTTTGTTCCTGGTCTTTATCCATCTAATGCTAATTTTATTTTATTTATATATATATATTTTTTTTAAGAAAACAAATAGTATTTTGGAACATATTTCTGTCGGAAACCTTATGCTCATGGTCCAAAAATATAGCTTCTCTATGATAAAGTTTATTATGTAATTAAAAATTAGTTGAATATTGTTTTCATTAGATGTACAAATAGCTTATTGATGTGGTGGCTGTACATATTCAAGTTTGTATGAATTTATTTCATTAATCTTCATGTATTTGATTATCAAAGTTGTTCATGGGTGTCAAATATGAATTTGCCCAGGAAATCAAGCACTGTATAATATATATATTGGAAAGCTTGCTTTATCTTTCTGTATGCACAGAAACACATTGTACAGGATAATCGTGCAGAAATATATACATACATATATATAAATATATATATACATTCACATATATATTGTGTGTGTCCATGTATGTACACATATGCAAGTACATACATGTGCACACCAAAGTTCAGTATTTGTTAAAGTTCTTTATAATGAGTATACTAATGAGTACATCTTTGCCCCAGGGTATCTGTAATTTCACATTGTGGTTTTCTCCAAGTAATTGTCAGTTTGTTGCAGTCAGTGTGTTTTCATGTATTGTTGGCATTAGTCTCCCGATATCCTTTTTCTATGCCCTCTCGTGTACATGATATTCTCTTTTCAAGAGTTGAATTTGGGCTGGAGTTCTTGTTTGCTAGTGATGCACATGTGCATGGCGTCCATTTCTCAGATGTTATTAAAACAAAATGTATCAGATACAAATTGCCTTTGAGCTTTACATGTAGGAATCTTGAGTGATCTGTGACTAATTAGGATTCAGAAAGACAAAAGTTTCACATTGGTATTGAGTTAAGAAAAAAATAACTTTGTTGGGTAGCATTTCGAATAGTAAATAAATTTATTACTTCAGTTTTCTGCATTTATCTGTTTGTTGACAGTATGTGGAGGTTACTGTTTTATTAGGGGGTGAGAAATTTATACATTGTCAATTTTCATTGTCAGTTCCTTGAAATAAATAAAGTTTGTCGTGAATTATTCTGTATTTTACTTAGTTAATTTGTAATAGTTCTGAATAAGAAAGCAAAATCTTGTAGGCGACAAACTTAACTGTGAAGTTTTTGATAACAGAAATGCGAAAATTAATTTTACATACAGTTAATTTGGAATGAATCTCATAAGATTATGTTAACTTCTATTCACGCAGTGGAAAATTGTATTTTGAAGGCCGTATTTGACAGTTAGCAATAAATATAAATATTTCTGCTAAAAAATATATTGAATTGAAATTTCTCCATATGTACATGTCGGTTATTTCATGGAATGTATTCAACTTGGTTTCATGTAAATTTTAAAATTTTTCTTTGCAAGTAATCCAAAAACTGGATGAACTAAAACCTAACAAAAAAAAAAAAAATCATTGCATTATTACAAGTCATCAAATAAAAGTACGAAATTGTATAAGTATATCATCCTAAATATTTCTGAAGTACACTGGGATTTAAAACTAGACTGATTTAAGATGGATCCTTAAGATAACGCAAAGTAATGTGAAACAAGCGTAAAATCAAGATTGAATGCAGATCGTTTGAAGGTCATAACTGGAAACCTTTTTGTTTTTCTCAGGTTTCATCCCACATTTCTTACTTAATTTTTGTGTCCACATTTCAGATGAAATTGAAAGGCAATAAATGCATACCTTCAAAAAATTCTCAACCTTCAGATATAGACTGCTCTGGCCTCAAAACCCAGAGGTCACTGAACATTTGGAGTGATTTGCCAGAGTGCAGGAGAAAATGTTGGTGCAACTTGTGTAATAGTTATTACCTTTTTAAATGAATTTACTATGATAATTACACTATCCTGTATTTATACTTCAGTTTTTGGTTTAAAGTTGAAAATTAAAAATCTGTTTGAAAAATCCACACGTTATATAAACTAGTAGAAATGCATGGCATACTGAAACTTTCCTCTTAGTATTAATCATACTAACAAAGCGTGTACCATAATGTAAAGATATAAAATAGAGGGGTCAATTGCAATGAAAAAAAGTGGCTTTAATATTGGAAATGTAGGTCTAACTACTACTTCAGAATGGCAAAGAGTTTCCTGCACTAGGTTTCTAGATTATAATCTCTGTAGTCTGGGCTAGCTTCCCAGTTGCTGTCTGAAAGACCTGTTTCTTCAACATTTTCTTAATTTTCTCCTAACACAATTGAAATGTGGTATAGAAGAGTAAAACATGGACCTATACACATCTTCATTGAACAGTTAGCTGTTCTTTAGAAAAAGTTCAAGCTTTCTGGAAAATTAAGCTCTAATTTTCTCCAAAAACTTGAATTTTTAAGAAACTTATTAATTATTGAAGCACCTGCACTCTCAGATTCAGTAATGTCTAAGGGAAGTCTAATTTTAATATTAACATACATTTTGTACCACACAGTTCAAGAAAAAATTGGAACAAATTTTGAGAAAATGTTTAAGCACTTCTGGAAATGCACAATTTTGAGCTTTTTTCGCACACATCCCAAAAAAAACAGCTTTGAGTTGAATTTTATTAAAATTAATTTGAAGTATTCAGAGCTGCAATGTATAGAAAATGCCTGTAATTAAATAGTTTGAGAAATATACTAAAAATTGTAAATTTTTGTATCAAAATGGGGTTTGTCATGGTACTTGGTGCATTGAGCACTAACGATTAAAAATTTTCAAATAAAAAACAGGAATGGTTTTTAAGAAAATCTTGTTTTTAATGCTGCCTTCACTCAAAATTGTGCAAAAACTACTAATATTTACAAAAAGAATGTTCACGACTAAGAAACTTTAAAACAAAATCGACACTTCTGCCGGCTGGCTATCATGGGACATTAATGGTCCGACCGAGAAAAACGTTAAATGCCGTGAGAGATCGTAACGACCGAGAGGCCCTCGCGCGCCAGGAAATAAAATCCCAAGTAAAGGCTCAATGCCCAGGGAGAAAGGAGCTCAATGCCCAGGAGATGGCGCGCGCCCCCTTGTGCGTATGCACGACCATACTCTTCCATACTCTCTGTGCACGACAGCCAACCGGTGTCTTTTTATAGGCAGGCTCCCCGCGTAAAACATTTTAATTTCATTAATGATTCAGTTAAAATATATTGAAAAAGGGCTCATGTAACACATTTTGTTGGAAACTGATAGGTGAAGAGAAAACTTTGTATTCCGTCTTCAGCTTATTGCGCGCAGGGATGAGAGTGGCTTAGAAAATTTGGTTAAAGTTTATATGAAAAAGGAGTGAGGAAACCTACAGAGACGCTCCACAAACCATGGAGCGCCCTTATAACATCCAAACGGTCCTCGATATCGAAATGCCGTTTTCGCGGAATCATGGGGCAAGTAATATGAAACAAAGAGTTATTGTATAATAAAGGTTAGCACGAAAAAGCATCTCTTATGGTGTCAGAAAACTTGCATTTCTGTCGAAAACAACGGCACTTTTCGCCGCATTACATAACTTTAAAACGTACGAATTCTATTATACCTTATAGGTACTACGTGTATGAGAGTAAAAAAGCTACAGAACATCAAATGTTGACTACAGGAGCCTGACTACTCGTAACTATATTGAACAAAAGAAACACCCGTGGAGTAGGTACAACAAAATCTCAAAATTATTTCTTTATGTTTTTTTCAGTAGTTATTTTCCAAGACTAATTGAGAGGTTTGCAAATTCTGGAATACTACTAACTATTAATGAAGACTTACTTAAACAAGTTTCTCAAAACGTAATTGGAATGATTTATATTTACCAAGTTTAGTGATTGGGGAATCTGCTATCTATTGTAAGTTAAAAACGAAATGCATCTGTGATCATTGAACATTTTTGTGAAGATGTGCCACACTCGTATGATCACTAATCTTTGAAAAAACCGCTAAGAAACATTGACTTTTTCTAGATAATTCTCTGTATTGATTGTCTTTAAGCTGGCACCGCTCTAGGTGGGGGAGGTGTTGTGTGCTAACTGTCGACAATGAAATGAGTCTGTGAGAGATCAGGTTTTCCTTGGGGACACATTTACTCATCGGGCAATGTTACTTAGGCTTTTTGCAGATCTCATGTATGAGGTGTGGTTACGTGGAGTGCACAACTTGCAGGAGGAGATGTCACATCTTCTCGTGCTCTTACTTCGTGAAACCATCTCTACAACACAAAAAATATGTATTTTGTATAAATTAATATTTCACCGACATTTCTACTTTTATTCAAATGCATTAGCCTGTATATTTGTTAATACTACGTACATTAGTATTCATCTAATTCTCGACTAAAGATGTGAGCCGGAAGTGTATTCAGATTCAGCTTCTTAAGGGGGCAGCTCTAGGGACTGTATGTTCCTCTACAATACTTGCGCAAAATGTGGGCTGTTCTAAATAAATCAATGTCTTGCACTTCCCAGTGTTTTGAATGGCCTGGGAATTGAGCCAAGTTCTTACGCAAATTTGGTGGAACAAATCCACCAGTTTCGATAACTATCGGAACGATCAATGCTTTTACGCCCCACATCCGGCTGAACTCGATGTCCAAACTCTAGTATTTAAGACTATTTAAAGCAATATTATTTCTATTAAAACAAAAGATGTTTGCTACACTTTCATTAACATACATTAGTATTAAAAAGAACAGAAAGCTAATTGACCCCTTTTTTAAGAAGTCATGGGTCGATTCCATGGATCTCTGTGCCAGTGTAGCAATTACGTGAAATCGTACATTGCTGTACGAAGAAAACTGAGCAATTTGGTAAGGCACCTCGTTTTCTTATTCTGCTCTGGTAAAAAAAGTGTTCTCAAATAATATCATGTTTATTTTTTTAAACAGACGTTTTTGCGTTTGGCAGCTCGGTTTCCCGTGAATTAAATCGATTTGTTCTCGTGGGCCGACTTATTTTGTCGTCAAAGGAATTTTAAGTATTTTGTTTGGTGACGAAAAGTTATTATTTAAAAAGGAAATAGGCAGCTTAGCCTTTTTGCAACAGCATGTAGTTGGCTTAAATTTTGAATATTGTATTGAAATAGTGGAGCCCTAAAAATTAATATTTATTCCTGATTTCTTAATGACATTTCGAAGTACAAAGGACGTGGGAAGATTAGCAGAATCGTTTCCAGTATATTAATACTTTCTTTCGTTTTCCTCGTATTTCTCATGCAGACGCCCCTTGAATTTCACCGCCACCGCAGCATCAAGCACGATCGCAGTGTGGCCCTTCGCAAACACCAAGCCAGGTCTGTTCCCCTGTGGGCCGACCTGGTTCAGGCCATTCCATCCGCCCGCGATAGCGGCGTCCAAGCACTCGCTTACGACGTTACGACACTCAGAAACAACATCGTAGGTCTCGTAGGTGGGGGTTGCATCCTCGTGCACACAGCTCCGCCAGTCGAATTTGAATCCACTGTGTGGGTTGCGGTTTCACTTGTTTTGACCAATTCAGTGCAGTAAAGGATTTCGCCATAACCAGGCCTTCTTCCCGGGGGTCGTCATCGGCGGACAAGCCGCCTCCGGCAGTCGCAGGGGATCTACGTTCGCCGGGTCTCTGTTTTCGGCCAAATTCGCATCGGCCCCCTTGTGTTTCTTCCTCGTCTGACCGTTGCGAAACGCGAGTCTCAAGTGGGATGTTGCTGTGAGGGGGGTAGAGGCATTGACAACTGCGTCCCCGGGACCCGATAGCACGAAGCTTGCCTTCGCGGGCTTGGGGCAGTAGGGTGCCGCCACTCTCACCCATTAGGCCTTAAATGTATTACTGATTCTGCAATAAAGTTTGAGAACTTGGTGCTAGAATACACTAACTTAACATTGTAGAACTTAACAACTTTAAAAAGTGTACAAAATTTGCAAATTAACATAAACATTTCACAGTACAATCTTTCGTAGCACTCCACTTCACCACACTTTACTTCACCGCACTGCACTGCACATAATTAATAAAAATACTTAAATACATGAGATGTAGTTCCTTACCCTCAATAATATTAAATGTATTTATAATACACATTTCAACAATCAGGAAACTAATTTATTTTTAAATTTGCTCAAGCTTTGAGGAAAGGGATCGAAGATTGTCACTGGCAAACCGTTCCCATCTCTAATAGTTCGATTCGCGAATGAATGTTTCCACAACGTCTGTTTTCTGAGTTCTTGTCTGAAATTTGTGCATGTGATCCGCTCTGCCGAAATATGAAGGTTTCCTTAATCGACTTCGAATTTCATTCCACGCTTGAAGGCCTGAGTACGCTTTATACATAGCATAGAGAAGTGACTTTAATCTCCTCCTTTCGAGTGTCTCCCATACTCTTCTATTCTTGGTACCTCTGAAAGTAAACTTTGATGCTATACACGGGACCTTTTCTAGATTCCTTTGCTGCAAAATTCTGTATGGGTCCCAACAAAGAGGCACTGTCTGACGCGGAGGCAGGGGAGGGGCTCCTATCCAGCCACTCGTCCTCCGCGTCGCCAGCTACCCAGATGTCTTCGCCATCGCCGTCTCCGTCCAGTTCGGCGACGGGGGCGGCTGGGTCTTCCACATCCAGCTCCCCGCCCTGCCGATGTCGGGGGTGATACACTGACTAGCCACCACGGAGAGGAGGAGTGCCGTCACGCAGGACTGTGTCGGTGGTTAGCAGATTTCAGGCGTGCACGATAAATTTATTTGAGAGGGGCGCCAAGCGTCCAACTTGTCATCTGGCGCCGACAAAGAGGACCTCAGGGGTGGACGAATGGGGCAAATGGTTTACTAACCTACTTTGATTTAAATAACACTCTAGTAATATTCTTTTTAAGTGTTGCCCGCGTGAGTGGTGAGAACATGTTTATTTTAAAATAGAAAGGCGCAAAACCAAACTTTCAATACAATTGTTCAGTGGACTATTGTAATTCTGCTTTCATACTCTTATTGTCGCACGCACACTTTTTTCTCTTTATGGAGTTGGACAAACATACGTGAGGATGACGATGAGTTACCGCGCCTCGAAGGATTGCACGTACTCGGGTCGTCTGGCTGGGCAGTTCCAGTCGCGGCGTCGCAGCCGGGCTCTGCAGCGCGAACGGCGCCGGAACAGAAACCTGGCGCTCCCGTGGCACTCGCCTAGGCCCTCTCCGCTACCCGCAAGCTTTTCGTGATGACCCTCGATGTGGCAAATTGGCAGAATGAGCCGTCATACGTCACCCCTTTGAGCTTCGTCAGCCGATATCACTGCACTCCTTTGAGTGCTCTATTAATGCTGGCCTATCCAGTTCGTCGAACGGAATTAATTCCGAGTTTCGACTACTGACGGACGGTCGAATTGCGTAGGCCGGCAGGCACTGACCAGTTGTATCTGCAGCTGATCTCGTCGCGAAGTCACCTCTGCCTCTCTCAAGTGCCTTTTTGCCAGTTTTTTGTTTCTCCCTTCCCGTTGCTTCCTCGCTTTCTATCCCCTCTCATCTAAAAGTCCCACAGCTTCGTCACGTGAGTAAAATTTTAAATCTTATTGGTCATCTCTTTACGTTCCAGATGTTTACACGGATCTCGGTCGGGGATAGGTGTCAGGAAACTTTTCCTGATTAACTTACTTTTCATAATATTTTATTCGGCGCCGCCGTGGACGCGTGGCGACGCTGAACAGCTCCTTTTTGCTGTCCCTCTGATGATTTTACGACGCTCCCTTTGAGATTTTTACGGGCATGAGCTACAGGGTTCCGAACACGATTGTCCCCCTTCCCGCTTTGAAAGACGGTCCGTGAGGAATGACCCGTGGCCGGGGAGGGCGAGGGCGCCTCCTGCACGTGGTCGTGCCAGATTGCGGACGTAGAGCGCTTCGTGCGCTGGTATTTTCATTCCCGTCACAAAGGGTTGAGTTGGGGCGAGCGGAAACCGATGAGTCTCACCGCAACAGAAATGCCTTCCGGCGGCTGCAGGCATGGGAGGCCGTCGGGCGAGTCCGAGGGGAGCCACTAGCTGGCGGCGGCGCGAGAAGATCCGGGCGCTGGACCAGGAGGAGGACCGCGTGATTCTCCACCCGTTCGCCCCGCGCGACAGGAACTCCCTCACGCGCAGGACCCTATAACTCCCATATAACGTGGTGGGGACCATTATGGTGGCGCACTCTGCTGCATCACCTTCTTTACAGGAACTAAAACACGAAGTGCTGCCAACGATACTTTCAAAGTGCGTGGCTGCTGCGTGAGTTCGCGGGTCATAATCAGGCTCATAATGTTACAAAAAATAACGTCTTTGTTTGCGCTTTCTTTAGAGGTTTCTTATAATTATAGGTTATGAATTATTCTACATTTAGAAGACACTTTTCGTATTTCTCACAAATTACTAAATTTGTACATGGGAAAGTTGGCGAGCCTAACCTGCAGCTGCACCCGGTGACACTAGCGCTTCCTATAGTAGCAACCTCGAGCTTTGTCGCCGGTTTTGATGGAGAGTTGCCGGGCCCTTCTCACGCGCGTCTGCGCCGGTGTAATATTCTGCGCATGCGCAGCCCCCTTCACGAGGTTCGCACGCGCAGCTGGGCATCTCGACTGATGAACCTTGTAGGCGCAGTCCACACTCTAGATACCGCATTCGAATCTCAGTTTGTGGACTCCGACTCACCCCATCGTCCTCTGAGGCATAGATGAATGGATTCGTGGGGAGGGAGAGAGTTGAGACTGCGAAATATTACTTAGATGAATTGGAAGAGCATTATCAGAAAATGCAACAAACATAGCCTTTTCCATCAAAAGTTCTCATCAGAGAGTGTTCTGGAAAAGAAACGGCACATAATTGACAAAGATCAACTTTGCCGAAAGAATTAATGAGTATGAAAGAGGTTGTCATGGTTATCTCTGTCCAGACAAAAATAAACGTTTTCGTTACGAATTTCACGTTTGGTGCACGTTAGACTGCAGAAAGGTGCTGGGAATTGCATGGCAGCGCATCGAACCGAACTTTGAAAGCGCCCCACATATTACCCTTAGCTACTGGGCACGATGGCCACGAAACTGTTTGCGGCTCCTCTGATTTTCATGACAAAGCGAGCCCGCAAAGTCTAACATGGAAAGAGCTGGATTCCGAGAAATCTGACAACGGGTGCATATTTCGTCGCAGGTGCCCAGGAGGTGATGCAATCTTTTGGTAACACTACGAACTAACAGGAAGCTGACAATCGATGTCAAAGAACTTTGTATGAAATAAATGAGTATTTGGTCAACTGAGAAGGAATTCGTGCGGCTTTTTTGATCTCCTGAGCGGGAAGTTTGAAATGAATGAACTTTCATTCTGAAATGCATTCAAAGAGTAGCGAAACTGAGCTGTTTGAAGCATGGCGCCAAATTTGAACTAATTTGGTGGTCAATTTAGGTGGGGGTGTCAACGAAAATGAGATCACCAAACGTTCTTTGCATTATTCAACAACAAAATTTAATCCAAAAATTTGGAGTAATTTTTTTGAAAATGTCCCAGGGGCTTCATATAAAATACCTAGGGGCTTCATGTAAAGTACAATTCAAATTTCAGAGTCCGCAACATCAACTAGAACGATTGGGGAATGCCAGTTTTGGAAAAAAATATGCTGAACGGTTTATGCGCTAGGCGGACGGACAGGTAGACATATTTTGGCGTCAATCAATTTTTCGGTATGAAGGACGCACAAAAAAATTATTCTGGCTACTCCAGAATGCAAAAAATAAAATTTGGAGGCATTTTTGAGAAAATTTTAAAAATGCCTCAGGAACTTTATGTAAAGTAGATTAAATTTTAGAATAGTGCTTATAAAAATATTGTTTATTTTTCAAATTTATAGAGTATTTTTAAACATTTTAAATTGTTTGTAGTAAAGAATTAGGTGTTCCAGTGCTTTTCCAGGAAAATGTTTTTTGAAGTACACTTATTATATAAGCATTTAATTGATATTATTTAAACCATGACATAATATGTAATGTTAATTTCTATTGCTAAGCAGTGGAATAAGGAACTGCATTTTCACTTGGTGTAGTTGTTAATTATTGCAAACTTTCAGTTCTGGAGGAAAGTTATTAAATGATATGTTCATCTAATTGTATTATTGCAATTTCATGAGTAATGCATTTTCAGTGAATGAAAGTGCAATATGGTTAAACATAACATGAATGTCAATAACAAACATTTTTGATATCTCGAATCATTTTTTCATTTCTTGAAATAGTTGGTAACACCAAATGAATTTTTGATTACTTGAAAATTGATAGATGAAATAAACATTTCTTTCTGGAGGGACTTTAAAATATCAAGTGATTTCATATTAGATGTTAATATTTGTATTTATCGTCTAGATTTCATTGAAGTAACTACATGCTGTTAATATGTGATGTTTTGATATATCTAAACTAAATATTTGCCAAATTTAAGACGTATAATTTTCGTTTAGTCTCTTGAAAGAAAATAATGTACCATTGTTTTTGTGATTTAATATTAATAAACCCGTGTCTCTTAACTTTTTTAGGGGTGTTTGTCATCATTAGTCACCTCCATGGCAGGGTATTGTACATTTCCTAAAGAATCCTAAAATTGTAAATTACGCCAGGACTATTCGTTCACTAAATACTGCGTATCTAATTCGTCAAGTGTCAAACGTCTATGTCCTAACCACTGCTTTGTTTAGTAAGGTAGCCACCCGTTTGATCGCAGCACTGAGGCACGGCAAACGCTAGTTTCGAGAATCGACACGTAGTTTACCAGAGTCAGGTTTGGCAACGAAAGAAAACGAACCTATCATCATCACCACACTTTCTGCAACCATCAGAACAGCAGACAGAGAGTATTATAACGTGTCTCCCAACCAAGACAATGCTATTCTGATGCCCATGTCAATGCACATGATCAGCCCTTGATAGATATTAAATTGCTGCGATCGGCAGATTGTAATGTTGGTCCCGGGTTGGTCCTTCACGTTTCGAGCGGCGCGACGTGTCGTATTTTAAGCTGAAGTGGTTGTATTTAAAACTATTTCATCGCTCCCCTTGGTAAAGAAAGACTGAATTTTTGAAACTTTCGATGCTGGGTATAACATGTTTTTGCAACATGTTTGATATAGTCGGTCTTTTGTAAGATAACATTTTGTACCTTGAATACGTGGGCTTTACTGATGTGTGATGTGTTCTTATTGTGCTTTCGCATCATTTCCAGATCTCTCATTTCGAGTCTAGTTATTCCTGTCAGCGTCTGTATTGTTGCTGGATTAGTAGTGTTAACTCCTGTGTTCATCTGTGTTGCCAGAAATGTAATTGTGTGACTCATTAGATGGATAATATAACTACTAGGAATACAATTATTGAACTTATTTGTTGTGTTTCAGCATTTTAAAAATAAGAAAAAATCTTGTGGTGAACATGCATCTACTGTGGCATTTTTTCACCCTTATTGTAATATGGGTGGTGGAGGAGAAAGAGTTTTGTGGTGTGCTATTCGTGCCATTCAGACAAGGTAGAACTATTGATTATTAAATGGAAATATTTATTAATTATAATTTTCTCAACATATGAGTTGCCCTTTATATCTTGCAGGCATCCCGCGGTGAAAATTGCAGTGTACACTGGAGACTTAGAAAGTTCTCCAGATGAAATTTTAAATAGAGTTAATCAAAGGTTCAACATCATTTTACCAAATCCTGTAGAGTTTATCTACCTACGACGTCGACCATGGGTTGAAGCAAAAATGTACCCCTATTTTACTTTGCTGGGACAGAGCCTTGGATCTATAATTTTAGGATTGGAGGCATTGTTTTCATTTTTACCAGGTAAGAATAACTTTGAAATACATGCATAAATATTATTTTATTGCTTCAGGATTTCTTGCTTTCTATTGTTTCAAACTAAATTGCAGTATTTGGAAATAATTTACAAACTTGTTTTAAAAGTTCCAATTTCTAAAACACACTTTTATGAAAGTGAAAATTGATATTATAAAGTAAACTAAAAAAAAACTCACAAAATTTTTCATGCATTGCAGATTTTGAATTCGTTAATGAATAACTTCATAAGACCCACAACCTTGCCATTATGTATCGTATCAAACTTTTTTGGTGGTGGCAATGGTGTAATGGTTAGCTTATCAAGCTGTTATATCCAAGTTTGCGGGTTCAAACCTAATCAAAGCCTTGGATTTTTAAGGGAGAAAAGATCCTTCATGTGTCTTTCTTCGGAGGGGAAGTAAATGTGGATGCACCATGTTAGTAAATTTATTGCATGAAAAAGATTTTCAAGCCTAAATGAAGCCTCTTTGAAGTAAATTCAAATCTCTTGTTTTGTTGTTCATGAAATACCTCCTTTTTCCATTAGTTTAGAAAGGAATGTAGCGAAATTTGCGTGGTCTGCCAGAAGAGCATGACTTAAGTCTCACCACTTAATGAAAGGCATCAATTCAATTCAAATGTTAACTCATTAATTTTTTTAAGGGTTGCTCACTCAGTGGAAGTGAAGTTGAGTGCATCAGAAGTTGAGTGCATCAGTTCCTTCTACACACTCCATATACCATACTGCTAATACCCACTGTATCAGTGGATTCCTTGGTATTATCCAAGTGAACAAATGAGAAATAGTATGTTTTCTTACCTAAGAGATTGTCTTCTTTGGCTATCTTAACTAGTTGCACAGCGAATTAATATTCTTCTTCTTCTTTCCCTTTTTACCTTTCAACATCGGGAATGAGTTAATATTCAAAAGATAAAAATATTATAATGTAACAGGATTGATCTAGTACTTTCCGAGGTTTAAGATTGATTTTAATTTATTAATTTTTGAGTTCGTGTATGCTTTTTTATTATGTGTTCATTAAACCCAAAATATTGTCACATAATTTTACATGGTTTTGGATTCCTAAAATTGTGAGATTTTTGATATTCAAAAATAAAAAATTCCCATCCTGAGCTTATATGCTTCAAATCATTGTAGCAAAATAGCTGTAAATCTGGTATTTTATTCTCTCCGATTACTGTTTCTTTCAATCAATGACCAGATGGAGAAGAACTTCATTCATATGTAAAATTTTTTGAGTAAAGATGTAATTTGGGTTGTGATTGTTGAACAGTTAAGTGATTGCACCTGTTAATTACACTGTTAAAGATGATTGAATGTGAAATGCCAATGACTTAAGAAAGAAATTTACAGTTAAAAATACATTGATATGAAGGTCAAAGGAGACGAATGTGAACTACGGTAAAACTTGTTCAATGCAAAATATATATATACTGTGGAATTTTGTTCAATGTGAATATAAACCTCGACCGTAGCAAACAAATTCTATAGTATTACTGTGTAAAATGTGAAATCTTGGGTAATTCAAGGGTGAAAAATGGAGAAGTGAAGTTCATGATTCAAGGAAAGAAATATAAGAACTTATTTAAGAGTGAGTATGTGAGACAGCATTAGGAGTAATAGAGAATTAATTTTCCCGAGAAAACATAAATTACTCTGAAAAGCTGTGCACTATTATATCCAATATTATTATTAGAATTATTATTTTAAATAAGCTTATCATTTATAACAGTTTATAACAGCATATTATTTTTATTCCATGTTGAAATACCATTTGTTTCACTGCAATTTATGTCAAATTAATAATACCTCCCTTACTACTGGCTCCTTAAAATAATGAAGGACATGTTCTGTGAGACCAATTTCATTGTCAATTAGAATTATAAACAACAATTTTTCTCCTCCCACAGGGCTAACGAATAAAATAGGTTTGCTCAGTAACTAAACATGGTTTCATGTGTTCCATTTGAGCATGCTAGGTGGAGTGTTTAATTATCTCGCATAAAATATTGCATGCATCTATATTTAGTCTCATTTTACCCTCATCCACCATAAATTACTATTACAGGTAGGCATAGGTAAATAAAACTACTATAGTAGAAGCTCTACACAGCTAGTTCTACAATAGTAAGTGTGACTGGTAAGAAGTTGAAAGAAAAAAGTTTCATAATGCTTATGTTGGTAAACTGTGTTATTTTAGATGTGTACGTTGATTCCATGGGCTATGCTTTCACTCTGCCTCTCTTCAAATACATTGGCTGCTGCCGGACGGCTTGCTACGTTCACTATCCCACCATCACAAGTGATATGCTGCATAGAGTGTCTCAACGAACTGTTGCCCACAATAATCGCAGACTTGTTGCTCGAAGTCCTTTTTTAACTGCTGGGAAACTTCTATATTATCGGATTTTTTCCATGGTAAGTAGAATGTTTTGTGCAACCAAAGCAAGTAGTAAGTTAGGTAGCAAGTTATTTTATATTTGTACAAATAAACTTAAGTCATTTATGCAAGTACTCTCAGAAATTACAAGGTTTGCAAAGCCTTAAGTCAGATCAAATCGATTAGGGAATGTGATATAGAGAAAATCCATTATTTGGTTTGTGTTGTTCAGTTTTAAGGAAATCAATCACTTCTTTGTTATTATTGAAGTGTATTGTAACCCTTCCTTGTGTGGACTAAATCTTTGTATCTTTATTTAATAATCATTTATATACCTCTGCCCCATGCTTGGGAGCCACTGTAAACCTCTCAATTAATTCTATGTATTTTTAATAGTCCTGCTTTTGCCCCCAGGGGTCACTGTAAACCAAATAGCTTTCTTAAATTGAAAAATAAAAAAATAATTTAATAATGTTTGTTTTGGATCTACTTTATTTGATCTTATAAATTTCCTATCTTTAAATGAATTATTCAATAATAAAAATTTTCAATGAACAATCATGAATAAAAATTATCACCTATGGCATCAAAGTTACCAATTTTCAACTCTGTTATTTATTTTTCATTTAATCCCACAACTCCAAAAATGTATATTCGGGTCGTGGTCCACGAATTACGTTTCAAAGAGAATGCAGGATGTTCTCATCAATTTTGATAGTCATAGGACACGTAGCTTATTTTTGCGGCAATCATCGTCTTATACCTAAATAACGAAATATAAGATTTCAATTTTTAGTGTTGTGACTGCATTAATAGGTGCAACTCTGATTTATTGTACTCTAAATAATATTTTGTTTGTTTTCATTACCTCTTCTTTAGCAACCCCATCTAGCTCATAACAATACAATACAAAACAATAAAAAATACACAGATGAAAATATTACATACCCCAAAGAATAACAAAAATGAATAATACTCATTCACACCTTATTTACATTACACTTATTTCAATAACTCATTCATGCATACTCTCCTACCATACATGCATGTTATTATGGACATCTAATTTTTAAAATTTAATTCTTTCTTTTAATTGTTAATCAATCTTAGCCTTATCATATTAATGTCCAGCAAAAACTCCAAAATAATTTACTTTTCTGTACTGCAAAAATTGCCAAGCTGCTCATATTCCACTATTCCTCTCTCCATCACCACTCAGGAAATCTTTACTTCTGCCCATTATTCCATGTTTTTTGCCCTCACTCCACAACCTATGCATTCACCTTATATAACTTTCTATGCAAATCAGAATTTAGGAATAACTCGCAATCAGCGATTAAGCGACGTATTCACTTTGCCATCCAGTACCATTCCCCTTGCTGTCTAACATCATTCTCCTGTGTTTGTTTGTTTGTTGTTGTTGGTTGCTTTTTTTCTTTGCTTGATAAAATGAAAACTAAAACAATCTCCTATCACTTCTGCATTATCGACATTTTAGAAGAATTTTCTTTATTATTCATTTCATTAATAATGTTAACTGTCATTAATTTCTACTATCGTCCATAATATTTTAAATTTTATTACATCCAGAATTTGTTGTTTTTTTCCCCTTACATTATCTTCACATTTTTGTCTCAAGTACAATATATAAACTAATGTTTAAACTAGTTCACACGCTCTTTTTCCCAATTAGCGACCATCACATACATTGTTGACACTTATCTAAGATTTTGTTTGATTTAACTACAATTTTTTTATTTTCATCTCTCACTCATCTGTTTATCGGCCATGTTGACACTTTCGGAATTGCATATTTATATATTAAAATTATTGTTGATGTGTTTGGATGAATCATCACAGTATAATCTCAGCCATGACAACTTTTGCTCATGGCCCCATTCACTTTACTTGCCCTTGGGTAATTGTTCTTTTCATTCTCTACTTTTAAACTCCTTCACTAATTAAAAGACAGTAGCACCATCAATAGCTTTGCACAGCAACCACTGCACACATCTGAACAACAAAAGAGCAGTCGGAACGGTGTTGTCGCCTCGGCTACTTTGGACCAACTTCTCTTGCAAAGTTGTATTGTACATCACATTGTGCTGAAAAGTATCTTACTCTGCATCTACAAAACTCCAACAAAGTGGGCTTTAGATTATTTTGATTTCTTAGAAAATCTAAAAATAACTCTAAACAACATTAGTAATCACTCGTTTGAATCCATTGTTGTATGTGGAGATTTCAATTTTGATTTTGTGGGTTAATCTCATGAAAAAGAGCATTCTCTCAATTTACTTCATTTAATTTAGATATTACAGTGATTGTACCTACACAGAATACGTTTAAATCAAGAAAAGCAATAGATCAATACTTACGGTAGGCATCTGTGCACCTTCCTCCCCCTAAGACTTTCGTGTGTACATAGTATGCTGAGGAAATCCTTGAAGGACGTTCATGCCCTGAGACATCTGTCAACTGTGGAGACTTGAACTACTTGCCTGTCAACAGATTTTGCGGGGAGATCTCATTGAAACGTACAAAATACTAAAAGATCACTACAGCTGTTCAGGTTTCCATGACTTCTTCCTTCACAAGACCAACTCCCTCATTTGTGGTCTCAATTACAAATTGAACAAAGATAATTTTTTGTGCAATCTATGTAAGTTCAAGTCGAACAGAGTTCTTCATCAGTGGAATCTCCTTCCTACCACTGTTGTTAATCCTTTGGATCCCAACATTCACACATTTAAACAATGTTGTCCTGACCATTTATGTATTCAGTAAATAAATAGATTATAATTAACAAAATCTCAGCTAGATATGAAATAATAATGATTGATCCAGGGTACAGTAACCACAGTGCGCAAATTCTTACTATTACCAATAACATGAACACTGACAGAAGAAATAATACACACAAGTGTAGAACATTTCATAAAGTTGACATGAAATTATTTACAGACTTACTGCAAGAATCATTGGACGCTACTTATGGGTTTCATTTCACTTTAATGCGTGCTTTCCACTTAAAAAGAGTAATTTAAACATTTCACAGAAAAGCAATTCTTGGATCACTCAAGGAATTAGATAATCATGTAAAATCCAATGTAAATTTTATTTCATTTCTAAACATCATAACAAATCACCTGATTTCCATATTTACTACTAAAAATACAAGAGTATTTTAAGGAAGGTAATAGTACAGGCAAAAATAATGGAACATGATCACGATATTTTAAATGCTAATAACAAAACTAAAGCAATGTGCAATATCGAAAAAAATGGGACCACATCGAGTCTGATGTCATGAAGGGGAAAAAAACAACACAAATATGCTTCCCAAACTTGTTGACACTGTTAATTTCTGAAACTTCTTCCAGAGAAATCCTAGAATAGTCAATAAAATAAAAAATAAATATTTGTCTGGGTTGGAATAATTTCGAGATTGTTTATTGAAAACTTGTGCATCTATCTTTATACACCTGTTAACTCACATTTTCAATGCTGTTTTATGCACCAGAATACTTCCATATATTTTCAAAACAGCAAAAATTAAGTCACTTTTTTAAAAGGCAATAAAAAATGAAATTCAGAATTATCTGCCAATTTCTCTTTTGTCACCTCTCAAAAATATTAGAGAGGCTTTTCTACTTGAGAACAAAAAAATTTCACAGGACTCACAACACGGATTTAGAAAATCAAAATCTACGGAAACTGCCATTTTTTCCCTCTTAAAGATGTTGCTTTATCAATGGACCAAAATGAAGCTCCTATTGAATTATTTTTAGATTTTTTGAAAGATTTTGACATTATTGACCATTACATCTTGCCCTAAAAATTACCTTCGTTTGGAATTCATGGTATTGCCCTAGATTAACCTCTTACTTCGAACATGTATATGATGTACCCTCATCCATGAAAAACGGAAGAACAATTCTGTTTGCTGTCACAAATATTATTTGCAAAAACCAAATTAATAGTAAGACTATAGAAGTTTCAAATTGGTTTTATAGTTACATGAAATAATTATATGCGTTGTCATTGCCAAGAATATGACTACATATGCCAAGAAAACGACTACAAAAACAACTTTTTTAATAAATAATATTTTTGGCAAAGGTAACGCATATAATTATTTCATTAGAAATGCCAACGATAACTCACCACCACATCTATATTTATAGTAATAAATGAATAATACAGGCACACACACAAAAAAGTTGTCGGACCCAAAGACTTCACAAGCTCCTCTTTGTATTTCGACGTCCTGAATCCGGAACTGAAGCCAGACTTGTGCTATTACCCTCCTTTTTTTTATCCAGAAAAGACATCATGACATATTTTTGTTTTCAGAGGTTCTTGTCAGGCCCAAAACCTGTTACTCTTCTTATTTCGATGCACTGAATCTGAAGCCAGAATTGCGCCAACACCCTCCATTTTTTTTAAAAAACACAAAAAATCACTGAAATTGTATTGTTGTGTTTTCGGGGGTGGTTGTGAGTCCCAAAGATTTGACACAAGTTTGTCTATGAATGTTGATGTGCTGATCCAATCACAAGCCAGAATTGCACCATCACCTTTCAATTTTATTTAAATTGCAAAATCCTTCTTAAAATTGTATTTTTTTGTTTTCGGAGGTTGTTCTCACACCTGAAGACTCAACACGTGTTTCTCTATGTTTTTTGAAACATATAATCCGGAACTGAAGCCAGAATTTTGCCACCAACCTCCAGTTTTTTTGTAATTGCAATTTAGATCTACAATTTCACAGCGGTTTTATGAAATATGGTATATTTTGGGGAAGCTGATTGTATAGTACCCAGACTTTTAGATTGCAGAAAATAATTATATAAATGATAAGGAAATGTCATCCACATGATTCCTGCAAAGCTCTTTTTCTTTGAGCTTTGAAACCTTACCTTTGTCTTGCATATTTATATACTAATTTGTTGTTTTTATCAAAACTGACTTGCTTAATGATGAGAACATCTTTTCTTACAATTCTAATATTTATGATTACAACACATGCCATATGAATTGTATTCATCTGAAGTCAGTATCTACAGCATCAGTATCAAAAAATCTACGTACAACATTACTCTAAAACACATTGTCAGATGACATTAAAAAATTAAAATCAGAACACACATTTAAGTTAAAAGTAGAAGCTTTTCTGCTGCATAACTCTGTTTTCATATAGAGACTATGCTGGAAAAAAAATATTTTTCATTTTCTCAGTTTTCAAAAGTTGTTAAGTATGCCTTTTTTTGAACCTTTTATGTATCATTCAACCATGTATAGTTAAAATGGTGTGAAGAGATTCTGGAAACATGTGCAGATGGTTCTTCTCCCCCATATAAATGGGTGAGAAACAGAATGGTATAAGTAACATTTTATACATTCTGAAAAAAATGTGTTTATTTTGGGCTATATTTAAGTAGTAATGTATTTTTGTGGTTTATGAACAATTGAAATGTTATGGTTTTAATGATGAAACAAAGAACCATGACTTTACAGTGATATTGACTTAAATATACAGTTTTATCAAAATTTATAAAATGCCACTTACGCCATATTTGTTTTCACCCATTCATATGACACATATAGTTTTTACTGTTTTTGGTATACTTTCTCTCTCAAGAAATATTTTATTCACAGATACCTTGGAACACTTGTCTCAACTTCAAGGCTAGGGTTCGGTGATACAGTAAAAAAAAGGAAAAACTTACATCAGGGCTCCAATTCCACACGAACACGTAAAAAAAGCATTGTGCAATCCTTGCAACATGTCACCGTTATCCTTTTCAGTGTAGCCTTCTGTGTATGCCACACCATTACTTGTGTCCCAACTCACTGCACTGCCTTTTATTTTAAAAGAGAAAAGAAACTTGTCCAAGGAGGTTATGACAGTACTTTTATACATTAATTTACTTTAAAACAAACTCCTTAAATTTATCAAATCTTTCTCATGTTATTTTCCTTTCCAAATTGACAAATCTGCTGTTCTGCTCCAAAAGAACATGTATATAACCCATAAGTTGTGGCACACAGAGGAAACGGTGTTTTACAGAATTGATTTTATCTTAGCATGTCAATAAATTTTTTTAATCCAAGAAATATTTTAGTGTTACCGTTCAGTAATTAAATAAATTGATCTATCAATTGAGGAAATAGTCAACTGACTTGGAAGTTGTGCAGAAAAGATGTGCAGCAGAATATACTATAGAAGTGTTCCAGTAGAGCATTAATTACCCAGACTAACCAGTGTCTATCCCTTGTGTGGAAAATAAAATGTGATGGAACATTAAATTATAAATAGAGGAAATTGGAAATAAGAAAATAAATAATTACATATTTATGATATAAATTATATATTTTTATTTAAATTATTGAACTGTAGTAATGATGAAAAATCTATAATTCAAAATAAAACTCTCAAAATAGGTGAAACATTTTGAAACAAAAACGTTCTTGTACAGTAAATAACCTTTAAGATAGTTTGATAAGTGAGAGTAAACTTAATTTTGAAAAATATTAATAAACAAGAAGTAAACTGTTAAAATTTTATTTCTGGAATAGTGTGTGTTTGACAGTAATAACTTTATAAATAGTTCACTACAAGAAAGTAATTAAATCTAAAATATCCAATTGATGTCCAGAAACCAAATGGTTTTTATATTTAGAGAGATTGAGTTATTTTTTTAGGATAAAGAATTTAAGAATCTGAGAATTTTGAAAAATGTGGATGAATATAATCTTTTCTTTCTGTTTTTTGAATATTCTTTTCTTGATATGTTTTGTATTTATTGGTTCCAGGCATATTCGTGGGCTGGACGGTGTGCAGATTGTGTAATGGTAAACTCTAGTTGGACAGAAGATCACATAAATGATCTGTGGAAGTGTCCTCTCAAGACTCACCGAATTTATCCACCATGTGATGTCAATGATTTGAAGCAACTTCCAATATTGAAACAAGGTATGAAAATAGAATTTTTGTTTTAAATCTTAAATAATCTTGTAAATGTAGTACAAATAGAAAATAAGCGTTTTGCTGCTGAAAATTAGCCATTTAATTGTGTAGCATTTCATAACTTTCTATCGCGGTAGTGAGAAAGTTAAAATGTTTTCATATCGATGAGCTTGGTATGCGAGTTCACACCTTCACGATTTGATATTAAGAGCCTAAATTAATATGTAACGACATGTAATTAAAGAAGAACAATTGTGTAAATTTTAATGAAGTGTATTGACTTGAATTTCACATGAAAGAATTGATTGCATTGTCAACAAAACTTTCAATAGCAATAGTTGGCTTTTGATGACTTTGCTGTCATCATCAATTAGTGTCTCCCATCACATGCTTGTACAACTACATTTAGCAATTTAAATTAAATTCCATGGTGATTTTCTCAGTTTTTTGGTTTCTAAATAGTAGAACTGAAATATTTGATTAAGAATATTAAAGGAGAGTAAAACTTCATTCTATATGACAATTTTCATTAAAAATTTGTAGCTATTTCTAAGAAAATGACATTTACGCGTTACTGTAAATGCGAAATTTTAAGCTCTTCTTCGCAGAAATAGTTTGAGGTTTTGATAAACTTCATTTGAACACATTTGAAGCACTTCCACTCACAAGAGCAATAATGTATACAAATGTGTGAAATGTGTGTACAAACAGCCTGGCATATATTTAAAAAAATTACATGTGTGTTAATGAAAAGTATTAAAAATTAAAGAATACAGAAAAATTAAATTTATGTTATTGTAAATACAGGGATTGTAGTTTATAAAAACAATATTTTCCCATTTTTCTCAATTTTTTGCTAATAATTTTGCTGTAATACAATGGAAATATGACTAAAAATAACAAACAACAAGTTTCTGGTCTTTATGCAACTTTTCTTTGTGATATTTTGAGTTTTTTTTTTTTTTTTTTTTTTTTTTTTTTTTTTTTTTTTTTTTTTTTAGAAAATGTTGCTGAACGTTTCTGAAAATGCGCAATTTTGAGGTCATTTTCACGAGTTTTTGAGAAACTTCATAAGGTACCACTTAAAGGACTTGTATTCTGAAGTGATATATTAAAAATATCTGGAATGTAAATATTAATGACGTGGGAGATAAGAATACTTAAAATGGCATTCATGTCATTATTCATGTTATTCTGTGGATTTAGCACTATTCGTACAAAATGTTTAAAGAAAATATTTGTTTTTGTTTTTATTTGTTTGTTTTTTCCCCACAAAATCTTGGTTTTTAATATTGCTTATATTTCATTGAAATTTATGCAAAAATGACTAACATTTTCAAAAAATGTACTTGATGTTAATTTAGTATAGAACTATAGTAACTATAGTAATAGAACGATTTCTGGGGAAAAAATTTCAGTCTTCAATAATGTAAATTTACGAGAGAAATTAAAAGATTTCTAATTTTTGCAATCTTTGAAAATTCAGGGTAATCGTGAGAATCGAACTTGTGCCATCTCTAAAAGTGTGTTTCACTCTATTTTTACAAATGATTTAGAAAAAATATTTAATTTTGAGAAAATGTTGAAAATTTCCCTGGGGTGTTATTTGGGGTACTCCTAAAATTTCAAGAATTCTTTTAAAAATCACTGGGTTTTGAGTGTGACCAAATCAATTGAGAAATATTAATTTTGGAAAAAATTCTATGAAGCCTCTACCAATCTGCCTCTGGTAAAAATTATTGACTTACATTTCTTGATATTGAGAAGAAGGTCATTTGTAACGCACCAGTCAGACAGAGCTCGCTGTCAGAGACAATGCTCGCTGCAAGAGAACCCTGCCTTCGACTGAAAGCTTAAGATTGTCTGTGAACAGCAGGCTCGTAGTAACTTCACTGTACTTCATTTGTAACTTTTGCTATTTTTGAAAATTCAGAGTTCAAGGAAAATCGGATCTGCACCATTTTTATGTGTGCTTTGCTCTATTGTACATGATCTTAGTGAAAGAGCACATTATAAAGAACAGATTTATTACACAAAGATGAAAATTGCAGTTATAGGAAGATAGCACAAGAAAAAAACCACTCTCAAGAGGTCACATCATCCACCACATTGATCGAGGAATATATCTGCTTGCGTTGTTCCTGGACATATGGATGTTTTTCCGTAAACCAATTTTTCTGTGCGAAGAACCTGCAAGTCATGGATTCTGATTTCACAATGTATTAGAGGAAATTATTTGCCAATATGGAAACTAGAATTATCCATTTTGGGGGTCAATACAAGTTTTTCTTTAAAAATAAATAAATAAATTAAAATAAAAATAAAAATAACAGCCATTTTCTGCTGCAGCATTAAATCTGTACACTCTGTGAGAGGTATGCAAAAAAGTAAAATTGATCATCCCATAAATCCTCCACACATTTATTCTATCCCACTAACCAGGATGGCACAAAGTTTTATTCTAATCCACTAACCAGTCACATCCTACTTCAAATGGACCTTGATGCAGTTTAACACTGGACTACACAGTTGCTGATCCCTTAAATAACACCAAGTGCTCTGTCATGTCTAGAAGGAAAAATAACCGTTAGCTACCTTATATTGGTACAAGTATGTTGACGCCATCAACAGTTATGAAAGACCTTTGAATTTTTATCACTGAAGTTTTCAATTGGGATATTCATGTATTTTATTTTTTTAAGAAAGCTAATAAGATAATCTTCATGATTCTCAAAGTTTTTTCAAAGATTAAGAGTTAAGATTTTGGAGCATTGTACAAAACTTACATTCTTCCTTTCATCAAAGTTTTCACCAACTTATGAAACCTCTACTACATGAAGGACATTAATTTGCTCGAAAGTATGCAAAGGAGATCCACACATATTCCATCTGATGTCAGGAAAGTAGAAAAGTGACTAGCAAAACTTGGACTGCCGAGAAGCTGAGCAATAGAAGAAAACCAGCTGACGTGATCAAGACGTGTAAGACCTTACACTCGTATTATAATGCTGATCTTCATGGAATCTTTCAAAGATCATAAAATCACTGACTCAGAGAACACACTATAAAATTGATAAATCAATGGAATAGATTAGAATTCAAGGTAGGACAATTAAACTATTTTTTGACTAACAAAGTGGTGGACACTTGAAAAAACTTCCGGAAGCAGTCTTCTCTATTCTTTCAAAGCTTTGTACACCCTCTTCTTGGACTTGGTACCATTTCAGCTCTAAACTAGTGTTCACTGCAACAATTATTATTATTATTATTATTATTATTATTATTATTATTATTTACAATTGTTATTTGTGACACAATTTCTTATTTCTTTATTCTTTTTGGTGGGGATCATATTATGTTATTTTATACTGTACTGATATGTATTAAATTTTTATAATAGTACACATAATTATTGTATTTGTTAGTAATGTTACATGAGCGGAATCAGGAAATATCAGTACTTACATTGCCTGTAATTATAATAATAAATAAAATATAGGACCAGTTTTTACACATTTATGATATTATTAAAATCATATTTCAATTCTACTTTAAGGTGAGCAAAAAATTGAGAAAATGTGAAAATACGTCCTTAAAGTTGCTACGGTTGCAGCTGGGAAGAGGCCAAAACGGAAAAGCTAAAAAGATTAGGAAAGTAGTCTGAGAAAATCCATGGCATTTTGTATCGTCACTAGTTTTATCATTATTTTTAGCATCACTATTTTTAAAAATATTATCCCATCAGTCTTTATTGTTGACAAATTATCATGTATCTTTGTCAATTGTACAGATGCTAATAAAAAAGACAAATTGCTCAAGATTGTGTCAGTTGGTCAGTTCCGACCAGAGAAAGATCATCCATTACAATTGCGATCTATGTATGAGCTGAGACAATTGTTGCCTGAAGACTTATGGGAACGGGTAAGCACAATTTTTCTCTTTTTACAAATTCTAGAGATTTTCTTTACTTGTGATCTTAGTTATGTTGTGTACATGGAATGTTACATGTTCCCAGAAATGTAGATGTGCTTATTGGCTGTTACATAAATGTTAATGTAGTGGGTTATGAATAGACATCAAATGCTAAGGCACTACAAATGTATGTTTTAGGTGCCTGGAAAACCATATAAAGGTATAAATAAACAAGGAAAATGGCAATAACTCAAAATTGAATAAAAATGTGAATTGTGTGAAAAAGTAGTTGAACGTTGAAAATAATAATTAAAATGAGAGGGCGCATCCATTAATTAAATCAAAACTTTTCAAATCTAAGTTTACTTTTTACTCTGTGTTCTTGCCGACTTGGCACATTACAACAGTTCCATATATTGAAAGGGGAATTCCTTCATCCTTTGACAGTGAAACCTCCTTTGTGGGTTTAAATTTCGATTTCTTTTGACTAGGATTGTCCAACTGGTATCCCATGGGCCGCTTGCGGCATGGGATGCCATTTATTGTGGTTTATTGTGATGCCATTTATGGTGGAAAAGATTTTAGCCAAAAGTGAATGACCCTTGCATCAATTTTGGGCGAGAACATTGTGCACCTAGCGCATGCAACCTGCCCGGGTCAACGGTCCCTTTAATTTAAAAATAGGTTAAAATTACATTTAAGAATTTTTCTAGTAAATTCAGAAATTCAAAATCATCCCAATGTCTTTCACTGCTTTGCAAATGATATGGCCTGATATCACACATGGTTCCGTCCCCCGCTCATTTCAGAGGAGCTGGGCAACGTGGTGATATCAGCAATATGGGGAAGTCAGGTGTGGATCGGCTGAGTAATGAAAATATGGCCCGCAACCATTTCAAAGGTTTTAGTTGTAGCCCTCGAGTCCTTGCAAGTTGGACACCCCTGCTTTAAACAATTGAACTGTGAATTCTTAGAAGCACTTTGAGTTACAACCCAAGACTAGTGGAACAAAAACCTTTTACTTCCTGGCAAGGAAATAAACCTATTATATATATTCAGGGCACGGTCAAAGTTGCTTAAAGGACTTATTGATCATTTTTAGTTTTCACATGATTTTGACAAGAAAAACAAGCATTTTATTTATTAAAAGCTCATGTCTGGGAGAAATACCCCGATTGATATGTTCATTGCTTCCTGTAGTGCGTTTTGTGGTTAGAATCTTGGTTTTGTAGATCTTTGTTAATTAAAAGTTGGTTTATGGCAAAACATCTGTCCGACTGACTGAATAATGCTAGTGATGAAACTGTTGACAAGATTTGCTGCAAAATTGATTTTCTTCGTCACAATAAAATTGTAATAAAACTGTTTTTAATTTCTGTAAAGTACACAATATGCAGTTGGTTTTGGTTGTCCCTTTTCTACAGTTCTTCCTTTTGTGTGATGCAATTGCAGGGTACACGCTTGTATAAATTATACTGAATTAATTAATATTAATTTAGTATAATAGTATGTATAATTAATATAATAATAGTGTGTAGGTAATAATCTGTACAAACATAGTACAAACCTTTCTAGAACTGAGTTTAAAGTATTGCACATGGCCTCGGTGACAACCGGTGTGCCCATGTCTGCCCTGGGTTATGGCCGTAGGGTCACTGATTTTGACAAGCCGGGTTTAATCCATAAATTAACTTTCATTCGTGTTTAATTAATATCTGCTTTTGAAGGATTTTATTTAACTCTTGGGATATACTTTTGAACTTGTAACTTTTGTTTGTGGAATTTCATTTGAGTGCTACGTATGTATTGTATTGATAACGTATGTGTGGACAGTTGGTGGCTCTGGATTGTTTGGGCATAAGGGCATGGGAAATAAGCTGCAAGAGAGACAACTTTGTTTAAACTGTGTTTAGAGATAGTAGATTTAGATGCGATACTGCTCTTGTCTATGGTGTGTGTGTGTGTTGGGGTGGGGGGAGGGGGCATGCGAGCAAGCAAAGCTCTCTTCTCATTTATTGCATCTTCTTGATTATAGGTGCGACTCACATTTGTGGGTTCATGTCGTGATGCAGAAGACGAACAGCGTATGCGTGACATGAGTGACTTGTGTAAGCATCTCTCCCTGGAAAACAATGTGGAATTTAAAGTTAATATACCATATGAAGAACTGCGTCAAGAATTGAAGGAATCTGTCATTGGCCTTCATGCGATGTGGAACGAGCACTTTGGCATTGGTGAGTTTTTCTTAATAGCTCCCTTCTTGTTAACTTCAGCCTCTTCTTCACTATCATTATTATATAGGCAATTACACAAGTGGTTCTGTAAATTTGGATAAATCCTTGAGACACGAAGTGACGGGATTTATCTGAAACTTTCCTAACTGACAAGTGACATTTAATAGTACTATTTTACAAATGAAAAATCAATTCAAGAACCTGGTTCATTAATACTCATTATGTAAGTGAATCTGGTATGTTTACATGTATTCAAGAATTTCAATTACTATGTGCATCAACCTCTATTCTCTGTTTACTTACACAAGGCCTTCTTCAATGTTTAAATCAAAGAAGTTAGGATGTACATATTATGAATAGGTGTAACCTGCTTGTTTATAGTCTACTAGTGGAACCCGGCAGACATCGTTATGTTCTTCATCTCCTTTTCTCATTCACACTCACTCTTACATCTCTCTCTCTCTCTTTCTCCCCGTCTCTCTCCCCCCCCCCGTCTCTCTCTCCCA